TTTTTTTTGAGTGTGTGTTTTAAACGATGTCACTTTGGCTAGGGTTTTATCTGTAGTCCCTCAGGGATGTTGATTTTTTATTTAGTAGGGTTCACATTTCTTTTTAGGAAGTTGGTTCGAGATCCTAATGGAAGCCGCCGAAGACAGACCCAGGGCTGCATGCTCAAAGTGCCCCTACGTTTTCTTTTGTGTGGGAACAGCTACAGGCATTGCCTGTCGCTGCAAGATTTTTGGTTTTTGTTGTTTTTTTTCCATTCGAAGGAGGAGTCTGGAGTGTTTTCAAAACATATGACCGTGTTAAGTAAAGTGCCTTCCGTTGGCTCCGAGTCTTAAGCCCCCTCAGAAAAGGAAAGGAAGCGCTGTGCAAACAAAAACCTCATTGGCGTGTCTTTTCTAGATGGCTGCGGCAGAACAGCAAGTGGGAACGCACAAAGTTTTCCTCCCGGCCACCTTACGTTGTTTCCTCCAGGCTTCCGGATCCAACGACTTTCCCGGCAAGCCGGGGCCACGCCGCCGCTCCAGAGGGCGGTGCCGGCCGGGGGCGGAGGGGGCCGATGCGGGAGGGCGCCCGGCCGCCGATGTAGGTTAAAGCGGGCGGAGGCCGTGACGTGGGCTCCGAGCGGGCCCTGAGCCGCGGCCCAATGCGCATGCTCCGCGCGGACGTGACTCTATGCAATTGGCACTTGCAGCCTCATTAAACGAAGTGCACATTCCAGGGATCGAGGGAAACAGAGCGCGATCTATAGCCAGCGCCTTGGCGTCACCGCGCAGGCCCCGCCCCCGCTGGCTAGTCCGGGCCTTCTGGTCCCTCCCCCAGCCGGGCTAAACTTGTGCTCTAGGTACCTGGGGTGCTAGTACAGGGAGGTGGGCATGCTATCTCGGCCTACTATCCCACGCCTTCCGAGGGGCGACCGGCGGGAACTGGTTCACAGGTTGCACGGCACCTGCCGTGTAGTCCCTGGGCGTTCGCAGGCGTTCTCGGAGTGCCGCGATGGGGGCGCTGAATCAGTGCAGTCTTCTCTCGGCGCCAACCCGCGTGGCGCGAAGGGAACACTGTAGGGCCCTCGGTTCTCCCCCAAGGTCTGCAGCTGTAGACTGCCCTTACTGACTTGAACTCTTGAGTTTTACATTTTTATCGGGAGGAGGAGCTGATTTGTTTTATGGTAAATCACTTCGGCTGGTCTTTAGTCTTCGCTGACTAATAGACAAGGGCTTAGTCACTCTCTCGGTTGGGATTTTTACACTTCAACTCTGTCGGGGCGGCCGCTGGAGCTGCTTTTGTTGAGAACACAGCCCTACTTCTCTGCCCTAGACTGGAATGAGCTGGTTACGTGTGGGAAGAACAGGGTACTAATTATATTATCTTCCCTACAACTGGATTGGTAGGTGGAGAGAGAAAAAAAAATCCTGCTGACGTTTCCCTCCGGTTGTTGCTATTGAAAATGCCAGGTTGCTTGAAAGGATTAACCACAAGGAAAAGGAAAAACACCCTCAGAGAAACAGTGAAGGAAGCTGCTTGAAGCACATGAAAAAACCTGTTCAAAAATGGCACCGAAAACATGTCGAACCTAGATGTCTTCGCAGGCTAACCCCCATGAGCCCTTTGGGGGGATTTTCAGAGAAGGCGCACCTCCTTTGTGCCCTGAAGTTGCAATCCTGCCTCCCCCTGAACTGGGGAAATGGGGCCTGCCTGGACCCTTGCCTGGGAGCAGCTTTGAGGGTACCTTTGGTCAGTCCCATAGCTAGCTGTAACATCTCCTTCAGTACCTCCCTCCCTTCTCTCCCCGTCACTGTCTAGGAGCTGAGGCCCCTGTGCCACTAATGCCAGGCCGCTACCCAAAGGGAATGAGCCCAGCCCTTGTGCTGCAGAGATCGGCCATCTCAACTCCTCCAAGGAACAGCCCCACCAGGCAGGGACTGGAACATTAAAAGAAAACAACTTGCCATCAGAACTACTTTCTGACTAAACCAGTTTACCTGCAATCAGGCACTTTAATGCCCTCAAGGGAGAGACTACCATCCCAAAATAGAAATACTGAAATGCGATTTCAGTAAGGGTCTTTGTGGGAGAGAGCTTTTCTCCTTTTTCTTTTACACTGCCAGTTTAATGTCAAAACGGAGTTGTAACTTCCCTGATGAAATGCGGGCAGGAAAATGGAGAAGCTATTTTTGTCCTGGGCTCTCCTGCCGTAAAAGAATCCAGGATCAAGAGGGTTAAGGCTGGCCCTGGGTTCAGAGCAGCAATTCCTTATATTGTATCAAAAGTCTTTCAAGCTGCCTGCCCTTTCATGTAGCTCTGAAGCTATGATGTATGCTAAGTAAACATAGCTTTGTTTTTGTCTTCCACCCACCGCCCTCCCTCCTGGTGCAGAACAGAGTTGGATCCCTTCCAAAGCGGCTGCTGCAGCAGTTAGAGCACCTCCTCCACACAACAGCAGCAGGGCTTCCAGGGTGAGGCAATGTGTCTGCAATTCTCAGGGACAAGGCAGGAATTGTAATTGTACTCCATCATGTGATGGCTTATGAAAGAGGAAGTTGGGATGTTTTAGTCACGTAGACTCTGCCCTCTTGCTTAAGGCCCCAGGTCCTCTCACAGGAGAATTATGATCCTTTTTGCTGCTCAGAGTCAAGGTTACTGAGCTGGACGCAGCGGCTGGGCAGACAGATGCTGAGTGAAATGCTGGTGAAGCAGTGGGTTGAGATTGGCTTTTAACTAGAACACTGAAATGCTGCCATTTGTCTTAAGAACTAAAGGAAATAGACTCTGGGGAACATGCCTGCTGAGACTAGAAGCAACCGTCCTTCCTAGCTCTTATGTCTATGGTTCTTTGTTTTGTTTTAAAATAAGATCTCAGTTTATGAGCAAAAGGAAAGCTCTTCAGTACACTTTCAAAATGCAGGAGTAAGAAAGTGAATAGAGTACCAGTTCCATGAGTAGAGCAAATGTGACCCTCACGCTGTGATTTAAACTGTTGGAAAATTAAACATCTAAAAATCAGAATCTGGTGCCTAGAGCTTGTTAACACACTGTGCTGTGCACTGGCTGTCGTTAGGGCAGTGCAAAAAAAAAAAAAAAGAAATATATATATATATATGGGTCCTACCCAAGGACTGCCAAAAGAACCAACGGATCTGTGTTAGAAGAAGTACAGCCAGCGTGCTCCTTGGAAATCAGCATGGTCAGACTTCGTCTCTCATACTTCAGACGTATTATCAGGAGAGACCAGTCCCTGAAGAAGGAGGGGCTCGGAGAAGAGAGGAAGACCCCCAACGAGCTGGATTGGCACAGTGGTAGCAGTAATGGGCTCAGGCGTAGCAACGATTGTGAGGTTGGCCCAGGACTTGGGCAGTGTTTCGTTCTGGTGTGCATAGGGTCGGTACTGACTCAAAGGCGCTTAACAACAGCACCCTAGGACCCTACTTTGCCCTCAGGACTCATGTGTCCCAGCAGCTTACAGGGTGCTGGTGAGGAGATGGCATTCTGAGGGACTGCTGACATCATGAGTTTCACCTTATATTCAGATGTAGTATCCTCTTTAATAGGGCCGCTCTGAATTGGAACCAACTCTCCAACAACATGATTCTTTAGCATGCAGCTTATGTTAAAAACATCCTGTTGCAACCAAACTAAAGCTTCTTAAACTCTAACCCTATAATATTTGAAGTAGGAGTAAAAACAACTACACATCAATTGAATTTTGAATTTCTGCTAGCACTTGAGCGAAACTACCATAGGCTAGAAGAACACGTAAAAACACACAGAGCTTTTTGCATTTAGACCAAGTTATAAATATATGTTTCAACATACTTATTTATAGGAACACGTGCACATATTATGGAGAGTCATGAAAAATGGACACTATGTGATATATAAATAAGACCCTTTCCTCTGAGTAGTAGCATTTTATGACACAATTCCACTGTTGTTCAAATTGCAAATACACTTTTTAGAAATACTTGCCTTCTGTTTGACCTTTCCCTATAGCCTACCTCTTCTATGCAGAGAGAACATTCAGGTGTTAGTCTTCTGTCTATGGAGGAAAGCAGTTCTCCTGAGAGGGTCTAAGAATCAGGGCAAATAAAATCACAGGAAGTCTTAATCATCCACAT